CTTTTTCGTAAAGACATGAAATCTAATTAAAAATGGAGAACAAAATGCTGGGAAAAGACAAAGAAAACGTTCTGCGAGTTTATAAAGCAGGATTATTAAAAGAATTACAGTATTACGACAAGAGAATTGAGGAAACTCGAAATATCCAAAAATCTATTTATTTCCAAGATGATTGCAGGTAAAATTCCTATTTATTCTTGTGTTTTAACCTACATATTTTCCGCGTAACGTTAATTCACTCCATATTTGTGTGTGTCCTTCGTAAATGTATTAGAACTAACAATTTCTACAATTGAGTCATTGACTTACCAATAAATGGACATCGGGTTCGAGCTTAAAAGTGTCCGCACCTATAGGGCGTTAAAATCAAATACAGAGTGTCAATCGCGCAACAGTCTTTGTTTGTTCGACTGTCAGCGCGGTTGTCAATCATGCAGTACCATATAATAATAACTTGTAAAAATTACTGCAGTAAAGTGTAAAAACAGGCTTTTGTATCATATTTTCACTAAACAAATATATTGTGTTATCATAGTTCTCATTTCAAAATGTAATTTTGTACAGTTTTATAGTACCATTTAATTTATATATAAATGAATCGTAAATATAAATTACAAAAGCACACAAAATAATCAAATAGCTAACTGTATTTTTTCTACACATTGCATGCGCAAAAGATGGAAAGAGACCCATTGTGTCAATTTCAAGAAGCTTATATATAAACTTCTTGGTCATTTTCAATTGTTCGAACCACAAGGGATTGAAATATTTAGAACAAAGAAACTGTGAGTCTGAGTAACTAGAATAACTTTTCATAATGTCAAATGTATTTTTTTAAAAAGATTACAAAATAAAAACTAAAGTTGTCTTTGTGAAAAACATTAAAATTTCACCGAAACGTAACGGTTTTATTATAAATTGGTTTTCGGAATTACGGATATTTGAGTTTACGTTTAGTTGGAATATCGGTACATTTCTTATAGTACACGCTTATTTTCACATTTGTAGTAATATTTGTATGTATGTATCTGCCCAACTCATTATTATTATTAATTTAAGGGAATTTGTACAAAATTCGACATAATAATTATATATAAAAATTAATTAATATTAACGATAAAGGCTTACTCCATTACTCTTGTGTTCAAGTAATTTTCAGTCGAAGCTAAATATGGTGCGTTTTGTTAAATTTCCAGTAGAAGCTGAATATGTTTTTGGGCCCATTAAATTGTTGCCAGCAAAATTAGGCAGTACTGCAATGACGTTACAATTTAAATTAAATGTTTTAGTTTTTTATACACTCGCGAGCAACCAAACCGACTCAGACCCTACACCTGCATATAAAGTAGTTTTTATCAAAAACTACCCAGTCAATTAATAAAAATGTCTTATTTTCTGATAGCCTGAAACTTTAGCTTTAAGATGGTCTCATTAGCATAAAAATCGATTGCGTGGTTTTTGAAATAATGGTAATAGAGTTAACAATTAGGGAAAATAGGAATTTAGAAAAATAATTTATGGAGATTGTTATTTAAATTAAAACAAAAAAAAGTAAAATAATAATAATAAATTTATTTAATTAATATTTGGTGTTACCCCCTCTAGCCCTAGTAACAGCTTGTAGTCGATTTTTCATTGACCTGATTAACTTTTTAATAACTTCTTGAGGAATTCCGTCCCATTCCTCTAACAACGCCGTCTTGAGCTCATTGATATTTGAAGGTTGAATTTCTGGCTCGGACCCTTCGTTTGAGCTCGTCCCATAAATGTTTGATGGGATTCAAGTCTGGACTAAGCGCTGGCCAGTCCATGGTCTGTATATGGACTTCTTCCAGAAACCGCTTAGTTATACGCGAAGTGTGACACCGGGCATTATCGTGCATCAATAAGAAGTTATCGCCGACAAACCCCGCGTACGGAACAAATGTTCTAGGAGTATATCGGTAATATACCGATCGGCTGTCAGTCCTCCTCCTCGGTCCCCCCAGGCACGAAAACGAGTTCGGTTTTCTCGGCTAAAGAAATCCCAGCCCACATCATACAAGAGCCGCCGCCACATGCAACAGTTTCAGCGAAACAGCACTGCGAAAATCGTTCACCTGGGCGCCTATACACCCGACCTCTTCTATCACTGCCATGCAGACACATTCTGCACTCGTCAGTAAACAAGACAGCCCGCCATTGCTCGTGGTTCCAATTGAGGTGCTCTCTAGCAAATTGCAGGCGCGCTTGTCGATGGCTTGTCGTCAATTTCGGACCAGTTGCAGGACGTTTTGGTGTAAAGTTGCCTTCCCTCAGGCGTCTTCGAACTGTCCACTCGCTTACAACACGTCTTAGCTCTTGCTGTACGTCGACACCAGTCAGGTGGCGATTTCGTTGAGATGTAGAGACTATGAACCGATCGTCGATTTGAGTTGTGCACCTGTGACGGCTGGTTCTCGGCCTCCGGTCGAATACACCAGTCTCTAGAAATCTTCTGTATACCCTTGATACAGCAGATTGGCTTAGGTGCAGTGGAGCAGCGACAGATCGCTGACTAAGTCCCTGTTGCAAAAGAGCAACAACTTGAACAGCTTCTTCCGGTGTTGTATCCATGGTTTTGTCAAAATAGTGATGGCGATTCACGGAGATGCGTTCAGGTCAACTTCTGGAAAGCGGCTGTAGGCATAAGCCGCGTGCGGGAGGTTTTATAGGGTTAGTTGGTCGCCCAACTCGTACTGGGTACCGCGAGTAAATTCCCCTGTACTGCCTATTTTATTTTTTTTTTTTTAAACTACTGAATCGATATTGATGCTAATGGTACATTTTTAATGCTGAAGTTTCAAGCATTTTAAACATATAACGTTTTTATAATTCGGTTGTAAACTTTTTGATAAAACCTGCTCTGAATGCGCGCTTAGACATTGAGTCGGTTTTTTTTTTTTTTTTTAAATAAATAACGCACACACTCAACATAGCCCCGCACTAGGGAAACCCTGTGTCGCGGGTGCCATGGACACACACATAGACAACCACAAATTACACCCAAACTCACGAGAGAAATAATTGTAGGTCATACAACTATTTCTCCCGGCCCGGGAATCGAACCTGGAACCTCTGCGTGGCAGTCCGGCATGGTAACCGTTCGGCCACAGAGGCAGTTTTGTTGCTCGCGAGTGTATTTCGTTACATGTCACTACTTTTGTATACATTAACTTCGGACATTTATTTCGTGGTTTTTATATTAGACCCGATGTCCATTTGTTGGTAGGTCAATGAATTGAGTAGTCCACTAGCAAACTGCGTTATGTGCGTCGATAAAAAAAGCTATAAACTAAAAAAAAAACAATATTTGTAGCAGACTGTATCAATGACTTAAAGGGGTACTCGTTGTTAGCACCCAGCTAACAACAAGTGAGCAACGCCAAGCAAATGTACTTACAGTTTATGAATTTTTATTCCAAAACACGTGTAGCCATCAAAGCAAATAGCAAACCAAAGTCCAGGAAAGGTCCCAAAAACAATCACGTTATATTTAGAATTTAGATATAAACCTAAAACTTAAAGGAACTATAAAATATGTACTGAGATTTGTAGGGATTGAATGAAACTATTTTTCCGTATTTAAATCGCGTATATTTGTTTTTTCAAACAAACCGACGTTTCGGGCCCTTTGCACGTCTCATGGTCATGAACAAACCCCAGGTCCTTGCAAAAAAAAAAAGTCCGTTATCTACCCAGGATGCTGCGAGAGGCCATTGAAATTAAAAAACATCCTAATTTCAACAGGGAAGATGGTTTCTCCGTATCACCAGTTTGGGATCCAGTATTTCCTCTTATGAAAAATCCTAAACAGACATAAGACTGCAGTACTAATTAATATGTTTTAGTTTATTCTAATTTCTATTATTAATTAATAATAAATTGAACTTAAAAAAATTCATTCAATAAAATAATTTGTAAAACTTAATGTAGTGTAAATTGGAATGTTTTCTTTGTAAAATTAAAAATAAGGTATTTAATTAATAACTATTGTAACTATAGTGAAAAATAGGGTTTTTTTTAGGTTTGCATCAATATTAGACATAACTGGTCGAAGACTGTACCACCTCAGTCAACCGTGACCATGGGAACTGTAAAGGGCCCGAAACGTCGGTTTGTTTGAAAAAACAAATATACGCGATTTAAATCCAGAAAAATAGTTTCATTTCCTATTATAATGACTAGTTTTGTAATTGTTCAGAATTAACATGGTTTTGCAACAACACAATGATGACATGGCCAGTTTTCTTATAGTAATAATAAAAAATACAACTTAGATCTAATTTTAATTTTCCTTTAGACTCATCCATGTCGTCAACCGTCAATGTATCTTCATTATCTGTCATTTCTTCTTTGATCACATTTGATTGTACTTGTCCGAAAATATGAGTATAAAATTCAAGAATTTCGTATGTAAACCAATCTTCTCCGAAATGTTTGATGAGCAAGTTTTTAATAAATGCAAGTGATCGTTTGGATGACAAAATAATAAATATCAAAGAAAACGGCGAATGTTGCATGAGTTCTTGCTCAATAGAGCAGTGTTTGCAGGTTGACGAGAAAATGGCAACTTTTGAAAGTGTAAAACTAAGAAAGATAGCGACTTCTGCAAGAGTAGTCCGCATTTGACACTGATTTATTCAGAATATACCAAGTTTTGTCACTGTTTGTTGAAGTATTTGAAATTATTTAAAATACTGATCCATTTCACGCCATCAACTAAAAATCATCAAAAATGTCACATAGCACTGTTTGCAAGTGGACTACTTGATTGGAAATTGTAGTTTTTATTTTTTGTTTTTTTCATGGCTACAGGTGACAGTCTCCCGTGACCATGGGACCTGTAAAGAATCTGAAACATTTGCTTGTTTGAAAAAATTATTGTAGGTACACGATTTGAATCCAAAAAGATAGTTTAGTTTTCGTAAATAAGTCTCTGTGTGAGTTCAGCAATACCATACCTTTTTTTTTAGACTCATATGGCCGAGTAAGTCTTCTAGAAATATTTTGTAATTAGTTTTTTTTTATAATAGATGTGTCTATAACAACTTAACTGTAGAACTGTTCAAAGATCCTTCTGGTGAATGGGGACCTTTATTTGTTTTACAATTTCAATTCTTTATTTCATATCACATCCAACTATTTTGCGTGTGGTGGATGCAGGGTCTCCTACTCGTGTCACGCGAGCTCCTCCAAAAATCTCAGCACCCTCCTGAGCTTTTCAAAGACTTTGGGAGCTACATGTATAATAGAAGAGTGGTGGCATGTATAATAAAATAAAATCAATTGAATCTTATTGCTGCTTGAATGAGATATAAACTATGACATGAAACATAAAACAAGTCTGAATTACGCGGCGATGTTTGAAAACAACTATATGTTCTTCAACTTTAGTGCGGGTACAAATACTTCGTTTAGTTTGTCCAATATAAGAGAGATCACACTCGCAGTCAAGCTTGTAAACTCTTGCATCCTGTAAGGGGATGTTACTTTTCACGGTCTCAGGAACTGGGAGCACGGGGACCTGTAAAGGGCCCAAAACGTTGGTTTGTATGAAAAAACAAATTATATGCGCGATTTGGTTATAAATAATATAGTTTTATTTCCTGAAATTTCTGAATTATATCTTACAGTTCTGACTCCGACACTGACTTCCCCATACTCCAGGACATCCAGCCAACAATACGTCAACTCCGCCAGAGGCAGACCATGCTGAAGACATGTCTTCACGCTACACAAGAGCTCACCAGCATGGAGATCTTGCAAGCTGAAGTTAATATTATGGTCGACTCACCGAATTTGGATGGGTAAGTCCATTGGATTAAAACACTTATGGTGCTTATTAATACAATCGAAGACCTAAAAAAAATTCTTCAGAACCCACAACCATGCTGCACTGTAGTATTGCTCTTACCAACTGAGCTACGGGTCAAGTTATCGAGTCGTAGAAATTTACCTGTTTTTTTGCTAGAGATCTCTGTACTGGATTTTTCGGCATTCCACGCCGATAGTGACATCTAGTGTTTGATTTTTGTATTACTAATCATAATGAAAACTAGTTTAGTTATTTCATTACAAATCGCAGTAATAACTTACGGTGCATTTATACTACGACTTACCCAGTGTAAACGGAGTTATTTGACAACTGATGAATGAATATCATATTTTTTATTTCAATTGGTAGTCTGTTATAAATGTTCATGCACATTTAATATGAACTTTTGAAAAACAGTGCAGTTTTAGACACATTTTCAATGACAAGTCTGTTTGGGTTTCTTTTTGGCCCGTGGATTAATTTCTATTGATTTTTTAAATAATTTTAGATGCTGTTTGACAAATTTACAAACTTCATAAATATACATGGAAGGTAAAACTCCTTGTGAAAGAGTTCGTCCAAGGAAGTACTGCCAATTTTTCTATTGTGTTCCTGTTTTGAAGGTTAAGGGTGTTGGTGAAATTACAGGCACATGGACCTTGTCAAGTTATGTCTTAGGGTGACAGGCACAGTGACAGGGTGCCTCAGATCTTTGTAATTTAAAGCTCCGAGTGACACTGCACTTGTGGGCGCACGACTTGTTCGTCCCGTCACTTGATATTATAAAATAATATAAAAAATAACTGGAGTCATTTAAAACTAGTGATGTAATGCGAGCTGGTGAAATTATAGACACATGGGACTTGTTAAATTATGTCTCAGGGTGTTGGGCGCAGTGGTACTGCAACTGCTATGGACAGGCGTATCGCTTACCACCAGCCGCACGATAAGTACAGTGCCAATCTCCTTGTCAGCGTCCGCGATGTCACGCTGCTTTAAACCCCCTTGGTGTTTCTAATTTTTCAGTGAACCACCTATAGAAGAGCCTGGAACCTGGCGCGACGTAACAGCTGAGTGTCGGATCGACCTAGTGCCATTCTCTTTGATGTTCTTCGCACATAGAGCGGTAAGTATTTTCACATAATCGTTCCAATGCTAATAGCTTAAGAGCGATGCCACACGATACGTTGGCATGACATTACTAATACAAAGATTGAACATTAAAAAAATATCCTTCGATCGACGTCTTCCAGCAAACTGTGCTGGACGCCAGAGGCGGCTCGTGGGAGATTTCAGTGGACGTTCACTTACCTACACATATTTCAAATAAAAAATTAAACTCACATTACATTTTAAACAATGCCACTAAACAACACTGCGCTTCTTAACAACTGTTGAATAATAATAATTTTTACAACACAACAAAATGCGCGCCACAATAATACTGTTTGTTTATTTGACAAATAAAACTGGCAACAGCGCGCGAATTAAGAGAAGCGTTGCAAAAAAATGCAACTTTCTTTAAAAATTACAATAAAATTATGTGTCTAATGATCGATGTTAGAAATAAAAGTGACGATGGCACACGTCCGGTTTCCGAAGGTGGCTTGGGCTGTCGTCATGTTCCGCTGCATCGGCGCCCCGTGCTGCAACTGGTCCATCACGTTGTGCTGCGATGGCGCCTCGTGCCGAAAGTCGCAATAATTGGGTGATTGCAACACAGCGGTTTCCGTGCGTTATCCATACTTAACACGCGGAGTGCAGAATCGCCTAGTCGTCGCTCAAATTTTGCTAATTATCTCATACTAATCTTTTGTTTCACGTGACGCGCAGAAATAAATTTGAATTCAGTACTGAAATTTGTAAACAATTCCGGTTCATAGGAGCGCATCGCGAAGCCCTCCACTGAACGGTCCGTAAGCTATACTATATTAAAGGGAAAGATAAAAATATGCTTGTATGTTTGTCGTTCATTAATAAAAAAAAGTGCAGCTACTAATATAATATGAAAGCATATTTAATAACATTATTTTGGTGAGTTGGATAAAAGTAGGGGTTACCTATCAGCAGTCCTAAATGACGTTTGCTGGAATTTTCGTAACCTCGAAAGTAATTTTGAGAGGAAAACGTTTTTTTATTGCTTTTAAACCTAACCGAACTTAATCGTGTCTTTGCGAAAAGCATCCAACATATCCTGAAAGAACAACGGTTTCGTTATAATTCGGTTTTCGGCGTAATGAAAATTCGAACAAATGTTATTTCGGAAAAAAATTCGAGTTTGTGATAGTTTACCAAGAGTGGGAGTTCACTGCACCAGAGCTCCTTAGGACGAGCCGCCTCTGCCAGACTCTATGTCAACTAAGCCACGAAACGAATCAATTGAGATAACTGCAGCCGTAGGTTCGAAAAAAACCAAAAATCTTTACGACTAATTTAATTTAAAAGAAGTAAAATTACAAAATTAATTGCTAGAGACAGGTGACAATCGTTCGATGTTTGAAACAAAAGCGTCTGACTTAAAAATTACACTATTCCGGTAAAGCGGGGCACAGGCGCTGACCCAGCGCCTCGTGATCGGTGCTTTTGCTGTGTCTTCCTTCTGTAGAAGTATGGAGTCGGCGGCTTCCTTTGTATTGCGATATGTAACTAACTATAGTCCATTTGTTTAGGTACTTTATTGAAACATACTTTACAAATCAATGGGTATAAAAATAGGCATGCAATTTCATATGAAGCTAAATATTTGTATTTCGTATTAGAAGGTACGTAAAAATAATTTCATAAATGTAATCGACCCCTCCTACGTAAAGTATTTTATGTCGAAATTGCCAAGTTTACAGGGGAGCGTTTTAAAGTTCTGAATTCACTGAAATGAGCACAACACGTGACTTTAGCATTTGTCAGTTTTATTCGGCAAAGTTCGTTACTCACATAGAGTATTATAAAATGCTATATATCAGTTAGATGATCTATTAGATGAGTGAATTCAGAACTCTAAAACGCGCCCCTGTAAACTTGGCAATTTCGACATACAATACTTTACGTAGGAGGGGTCGGTATGTTGACCTAAATAAATTACTCAAGATTGTTTACATTTAGTTACGTACCTAAAGAAACGGGCTACAGTGGATCTTATGAATTTTTTTATGTGCTTGTTGCAGATGTTTATTTTTTGTTTTTAACGACTTCGTAATTACAATTATTACAGCGACATCCCTAGTTAGTTGCTGGTAGCTGTAAAGGTACCTCCCTTAGTGATTAAAATGTTGCAGGTGTTTGGTTTTTAACGACATTTTTTGCTGTAGCGCCATCTGTGAGAAATGTATTTCTTCACTCAGCCAGGTACCTTTCTGCCAGCAGCTACCCAGAAATGTCTCTTTAATAATTGTAAGTACAAATCGTTAAAAACAAAATATAAAGATCCGCAACAAGCACGTACAAAAACTGGTAAGGTCCGCTAGTTCGTTCCGTGGCTTAGTTAGCATAGCGTCTGCCACGGTTTGCTGGAAGAAGTTGGTTCGAATCCAGCCGGATTGAAGAATGTTTTTGTCAGTGTTCGATCTTTGTATTAATAATTATAACAAACTACAGTACCGGCACGCTGTGATGGCCGCTTTGACATATTACAATAGTGAGGTCAAATCTGAATTCATTATCGAAAAAAATATAATCAAATGCGAGTCGCATCTATAAGTTTTTAGATTTACAAGTAGTATTGCAAGAGGTAGCTGATTAATAAGTTTTAATGAAACGAAAATCAAAAATTTTCCTTAATATATCGTCAATTCGAAACTGGTTTTTGACGCGAGTGACAGCGATTCTGTAAGTGACGATCGTATTAGATTTCATTTTTTTAAATTTCGAATTTCGGAAAACAAATGCCGAGTTGCGTCGTAAAATTATACATCGTAAAATTATACATTGCACGTCAGATTGACAATAATGTACAGCAATTAGCTCCTTCAACGCAGTTATGAATTAATACGAAACTTGATGAGTGGACAAACGTCAAAACGGTCATCATAGCGTGCCGGTACTATAGTGGAGTAATTTCCCAAAAACGAATTGAATATAATAGTTCAAACAGTATGGCATTCAATAAAAACTTAGAAGTTATTTTGTAATATATTTTTAACCGACTTCGAAAAAGATTTTTTTTACCGATTTTCGTGGAAAGAGGGTGCCTCCATATTGGTCTTATTTAAATTTGAAGAAAATATACCACTTGTGGCAAACTAGGGGATTAGTCCGGTTTCGCGCACTTTCCAGTAACCGATTTCAATAAAACTTGTCAAATAGATGTATTTCCACGAGCATTTGAGTTTTAGTTTGAGTCGGTTTCCTTAGTACTTACTGTGTACTGATATTACATTCTATCTATTATATTTTTTCGGCTACAGGATCGAAGATTCGCACCAATTCTTTATCGTGGCTTGAAAGTGATTCCCGTGAAGTCTGCTCATGAAGTCGAGCTGGCTCAAACTGTGTTACCAACAGTGAAAAGACCTAGTGATGCTGTTGAAGTAAGTAACATTTTTGTTATATGCCCAACACATCGAGTGTATAACCAGAAATAGAGACGAAATGTCATTTCAATAGTTTGAAAACTATTCTGCCAAATCATTACGGTGACAACTGCGCTCCGATTGGACAGCCCGAATACGAAACAATTGACGGGTGTCGTCAATTGTTTCACTTCAAATCGACTAGTTTAACTTGAGCTTTGCTATAATGGACGAGAATTGAAAAATCACATATTTAATATTTAATTACCGATGGAATGTGATTCCGTTTGTTTTGTAATTAGATGCTTCGCTGTTTTTCCCACACCACCGAATGGAACCATTGTTAGAGACATTATCATTATTACAATAAACACAGAATATTTTTGGAATATACGGAGACGTACACACAGGTCAGTTGCTGGCGCTGTACTATTTCAGTGAAAACGAGAGGTGATATTTAAAAGTGATATAAGGCCCATTTACCTGAGTTACCAGGGATGGATGGCCCTTGTTTCGTCTCTATTTTTGGTTATATACTCGATGGCCCAACAGAATCACATAATGCTCCTGTCTCACTGGGGTCTTTGTCAACCTCCATCTCGATACCTCCAAAACACTACGCCAATTTAATTTTTGGACCTGCTCTGTTTTTATTTTGGTTTTTGTTTCTTTATTTTTTACAAAATTCGTTTTTTTTTCGAATTTTGTTTTTTGTTTCTATATTTATTTTTCACAAAATTTAGTGAGCATAATTTATACTAGTGAATAAATATGGCTGTTTACAAAAACTAACAGAAAATTACCAAAAAATAAAGATGGCGTAGTGTCCATCGGAGGTATCGATCTTAACACTCTAACAAACTAGGGGACTAGGCAAACTAGGGGACGAATCTGGCCTCGTCGGTTTTTTAGTATATCTTTAGTATATCTGTACCGAGACCATAATTTTTAAAAAAGTAATGTTTTTCTTAACATAAATAACATTTTTACAAATGTACTGTGGTGTAAATATAAAAATGTTAATCTCTTTAAACTTATCTCTCTATATTGTAAATTGCCCTAACCGCATGTTTTTGCAGGACAAAGATTCTATTAATATCTATAGAAGATAGATAGAACGTTTATTGACTTCCACAAGCACACACAACGACATGACATAATAAATAGGAGAGACGGAGAGTGTGCGATGAAATTACACGATTTAATTCCGCCTTACACTTTCCATCATCAGAGGGCGAGACGTAGGCATGGATTCCACCCCTATGTTGTGGATATTCCACAAGGCGAGTGTGGATGGGCATTATTTAGGTGTACATGCTCCATCGTCGACCTCATAGTCACTTTCCATCAGGGAAGATGAAGGTCAAATGCGCACTTAAATTTGTATTAAAACAAATAACAATACGGAAGGAAATCAAATAAATATACATAATAATCAGTTCATAACTGCTATAACAAGTTACGAGGTTTAAAACTATTGTGAAACAAAAACTTTATACTAATGGGTATTACACAGCTTCTGCGTACTTGGATGACAAGAATCCGTGGTAGAGACCCGTTTCGCGCTTGCAGGTAGTCTCAATCTAAGATGTTTGAAATAAATATTGTAATGATAAATGTATTCAAATGTATATTTAAAAAGAGCAACCCTTAGACTTTCTTGCTCGTTCTTCTCAGGGGAATCTGCCTTACGAATGACCAGTAGAGTTTAATCAGTATGACGATTTCAAGTGTAACTTCCTTACCTAAGAAATGAAGATTATTTGACCATGACCATTGACCATGACTATATATCCAATTCCGCTTACTCTATGTTTTCCGCGATCTGGAACAAACCATAGTGTTGCGGCCCCATCAACTCCACACTCCACATCAGATCCACACTCCATCTACCTGGTTGCCAGAACCGGCCCTCAGTGGAGCTGAAGAACGGCAACAATGCATATAGTTTTAATTGTTGAAAATGTAATATAACATAATTGCAAATGTTTGCTTTTAGGGTCGTATTCCAAAACTCTACTCAATTCTCAAGTCTTGATTTGAGTATTGCAGTGAGCAATGAAAATCATACTCAAGTCCTTGCCATTAGGGTCGTATTTTCAGTGCTTGAAATCATACTCAAGTCTGCTCAAATGCTGACTTGAGCATTGAGTACAGACCCTTAGTGTCTTAACAGGTACTTTTATACGTAATTTGTGACATGTGCCACTGCTTCATTCATCTTTAACCTTTCACACAGTAACAGTCACAGCTTTGGTCTTTTATTTTATATATTAAGTCCGTTATGTTCCAGAAATACATAGTTTTTTTGTTATTTATTTATTTAGTCGAGGTTACATGACCCATATGTCATATACCTTAAAGACTAACAGACATACAATATAATAAAACCCTATTTCTAACTAATCTACACGAATTTCACTTGTCGACGACGTGTGGCGCAATCTGGTGCCAGGTAACCGGCCGCGGAATCGCCGATACATGACACCCTTTGGCCAAAACTCTTCCTCATGAAGATCGAAAGATTGCGTTGTGGCGGGACATACAGCTCGACCCTCAAGGTGTATTTGGCTTTATGTCTGACGTACTCCACTTTCTCCTCAGACTTCTATCTAGCGTACATTTGTATTAACATGAAAGTGATTCTTTCAGATGATCAGAAACTACGCTACGGCGTACAGGTCTCGACGCGCTTCCTTATCTCGACTCGTCGACAAGTTCGGGGAACAACTCCATATGGAGCCATTGGTATGTTACTTTCATATAGAAGAATTATCTCGGGCATTAGTAATTGCCCTGATCTGCTCTCTAAAATAGACTTCCTTATCCCGCGATAATTGACGAGGTCTGGTAGTAATAGGCTTGAAAGGGTTGTAATCCTAACTAGCCGTGAACAGGTTCACGGCAATGAAATGGGAAACTTTTTGGAAAAAAAAGAAGTAAAGTTTAAAGAAAGGAGTAAGACCCAAAAGGGCCGAGAAACTGAATTACAGAAATAGAAACAGAAATAGATACATGAAGGCTGTAGACTTCTAAAATGTTAAACATGATTAGCTTATTAACGCTCCGACTCTTGTCGCGGTCGAGCTGGGAGTGACTGTGGTACGAAAACAAAATGAGAATGAGAAAGAGAAGGAAGATGGGACAATTCAAATTTAAATACATGTAAAATAAAAAATTTGAGGCTACATTATCACGAGCAATAACACTGTATAAGGAATATCAAATAAATTGTATTTCCGTTTCTATGATAAAGAAAGTGATGTGAAAAGTTTATAGTTAAGTTTATAATGATTATACTTTTCTATCGTCATACCTAACCAAATATTATTGTATTTTTTTTAGTGCACGCTGTAAGTAATGGGACACTTAGTTTAAAACCAAAGTGTCTGTATACCTGCATAGGTATAGTGTACTCATTGTTGTGAGCGCCTGATTAAAAATAATGCTCAGTTATATTTTACAAGCTTTTACTTTTTATGCATTTCTATTTCTTATAATTTATTAGAGTTACTATTGCCTACTTTTTATTTTGTAATATATTAAAAAAAAACAAAAGTAAAACTTTATTTTATAAAGTTCTTGTGTTCGATGACGATGTGACGATTTTATTTTATGCACTAGAGCATAAAATCCTATTTTATGCAGCCTACACCCAGCATAAATACGAACTTTAAGAGCACGAGAAGTGAAAAATAATGAAAAATAAATAAATATAGGCTGTAATAGTCATGTGTACAGATATAGTGAGTAAATATTGAACAATAGTTACTTGTTATGCAAGGCTGCAAAGTTGTATGACGCGAGCGCTTATATTGAATCGAGTCAGGGTTTCAAGGCACGAGAGGCAAGACAATTTTAGAGAAAAAAATAGACTTTTTTATGATATCAACTGACGGAGACTAACATGACGTTATGCACCTGGTGGTAAGCGACACGCCTGTCCATGACAGTTGCAGTGCCACTCAGAGCTTTAAATAGCAAAGATCTAAGAAACACTTGACACTTCACTCGTTACTCTGAAACAGAAAGTTAACTAGTCCCATGTGACTATAGTTTCTCCCTTACCCTTTTGTTACCCGGACGCAGTAATGCTGACATTACTGCTTTGCGGCAGAAATAGGTAAGGTGACAGTACTTCCCTGATTTGTTAGAATAAATATAAACCTCTTTGAACATATCAGAAGTGAATGTAGACAGCATAAGCTGGTACCTCCAAAATAGCCCTTATTATAGAGCAATAGAACTATATAACGTGGTACCTAGTAATATATTACTTCAGAAAGACGAAAATCTGTTTTACAACAAATTGAAAAACCTCATACAAAAGTGTTATTATACAATACAAGATTTTGTCAAAGAACTATGATCTCCCTATATTAAGCTCTATAATTATAATAATTAGTACATAGATTCATTATTTAATTAATACTGCATTACTTTAATAAGATATTTCATTATTTAAGAGAATTTAACATTTTTATTATTTAATTTATTTTTCAATTATTAATTATTTTTAAGTTTAATAATTTGCATGTCTAAGTATATTTTTAAGTATTAGCTTGAAAGGGTTGTAACCCTAACAACCGTGGTCAGGATCACGGCAGTAAAACAGGAAGCTTCCGTTTCACAAATTTATTTAACGTTAAGTAAAAGTTAAAGTAAAGAAAAAAAAACCCTTATCGGGTTGTGTAATGTTGAATTAAAGATAGACTGTTATTCGCTTATTATGATCGATACATGATTTACATTGATTGTATTATGATTAAACTTGAAAAGAATAAAAAAAATAAACAATTAAATTTAGTAGTATCCGCTGTCGCGGTCAAGCAGCGAGTGACCGTCGAAAGACATAAAATCAGATTGCGAAGGAAAATGGAACAATTCAAAATTTTAAATTTAAATTAAAAATTTAACTGCCTCCGTGGCCGAACGGTTACCATGCCGGACTGCCACGCAGAGGTCCCAGGTTCGATTCCCGGGCCGGGAGAAATATTTGTATGGCCTACATTTATTTCTCTCGTGAGTTTGGGTGTAATTTGTGGTTGTCTATATGTGTGTCCATGGCACCCGCGACACAGGGTTTCCCTAGTGCGGGGCTATGTTGAGTGTAAGCGTTATTATTATTATTATTAAATATGAGTAGAAGAAGAAAAAACGATACGATACTAATGGAGAGAGGCGATACAAAAAGGTGGGATGACGGTGTAAGGAGGTCACACCGTCATAAGCTTAAGCATAAGCGTAAGAGACTCAGTCTTTTAAGGCCTTTTAAAAAACCTCGACTAATTTTCAACGCCTCACGACTAGTCTAGTCTTTCAATCCTCAATTCATGAGTCACAAGACTATAACTGAAGACTAATTCGAGTCGAAGTCTTTTAACCCTAGGAAGCTTAAAAGACTTATAGGACTAAAACGACTAAAAGGACTGGCGCCTCATAGCCGCGGGAGTCGCGAGTCATGAGCCGTATAGCGTGATTTTATTTCTACCACAAGGTATTTATTTTACGATTTTTATTATAAGTAAATAAACGTGATTATTTACTACATACTACTTACGTCATTTTTATTTATAAACTTCGGGTTTAATAAGACATAAAATAGATATAAGTCTTTTGCAAACAACTCGAGTCGTTTAAGTCTTTCGAGTCGTTTAAGTTTTTTGAGTCTTTTAGTATAACGACCGAGTCTTGGTACTTGGTGCAACGGGCTGAGTGAGTCTTATTAATAAAAGCTCGAATACCCAATCTTAATTTTAGAGTCGAGTCCTGTAAAATGGAATCGAGTCGTTATAAAACGCCTTAAAAGTCAGTCTCTTTCATCACTAGCCCTTACATGTAATGTAATTTTATTGCATGTTCGATAGTAAATAAATACTAAATACTGAACTCTTTCCCAAGGACCTCTACAGCTACTAAAATCTTCCAAAGCAATTACTCTATATATGGAATAAGTAACACTTTCACGTTTACTTCGAAGGTTTTGACTTGATATCTCATAAATTTTTCCAACAATATTCATTTTAATAACGTCTTAAAGTCGTATTAGCAAAATGTTAGTCCAAAAGTGAGGTTATTTTTCAAATGTAGTTTATGGTCATTGTAAATCTTATTTCAGCCCTCTGGCGGTTACGTCTTAAAATGCGCAGACCTGATCGAAATCCAGTGGACTTTGCAGAACAAATGGTCCCCCCTGGCCATGTTCCATCACCGCATGAAGTTTGACGTCGAATATATGGGTAAATTATAATATAATAACGCACACACTCAACATAGCCCCGTACTAGGGAAACCCTGTGTCGCGGGTGCCATGGACACATACATAGACAACCACAAATTACATCCAAACTCATGAGAGAAATAAATGTAGGCCATACAAATATTTCTCCCGGCTCGGGAATCAAACCTGGGACCTCTGCGTGGTAGTTCGGCATGGTAACCGTTGGGCAATGGAGGCAGTTACAATAATACAATACAAATACCAGATTATCACGTTCCATTAAACAGTTTTGCTTTGTTAATGTAAAAATAAAACACCTGTTATTAAATTTGTATTGAATTGATATTCATTTTTTTTATTTCAATTATTTCGCTAAGTAGTTTGTTATAATTATTAATACAAACATCGAACACTTAGAAAATATTCCTTCGATCCGGCCGGATTCGAACCGACGTCTTCTATCAAACCGTGCCAGACGGTATGCCAATTAAGCCACGGAACGAACCAGCGGACCTCACGAATTTTTCCATGTGCTTATTTGTCGGATCTTTGTATTTGGTTTTCAATATCAATTTGTTAATGGAATGTGTCCAGGGCCCTAAGTCGTGCGTCTGATGGTAAGCGACACACTAGTCCATAACAGTTGCAATGCCAGTCAGAGCTTTAAATCGCAAAGATCTGGAGGGGCACTACCACTGCGCCCGTCACCCTGAGACATATGTTCACAAGTCCCAAGTGCCTGTAATTTCACCAGCACTTGGCGGCAGAAATAGGTAAGGTGGCAGTATTTCCCTGGACGATCTCGCACTATAGTACCGGCACGCTATGATGGCCGTTTTGACGTTTGTCCACTTAACAAGTTTCGTATTAATTCATAACTACGTTGAAGGAGCTAATTGTTGTACATTGTTGTCAATCGTGACGTGGAGTAAACTTTATGAAATGTATAATTTTACGACACAACTCGCCATTTGTTTTTCGAAATTCGAAATTTTTAGAAATGAAATCTAATACGATCGGCATTTATAGGGTCACTGTCCAGCACAACTTCTTCCGGCAAACTCGCGTCAAAGTCAATGCAAAACGAAGCTGTTTCCAATTGACGATATATTAAGTAAACGTTTTTATTTTCGTTTTATTAAAACTTTTTCATCAGTTATAAATCTAAAAACTTATAGATGCGACTCGCATTTGATTATATTTTTTTCGATAATGAATTGAGATTTGACCTCACTATTGTCAAAATGGTCATAATAGCGTGCCGGTACTGTAGGAGCTCTACTGCTACTAAATATGTATTTTAGTAGCAATAGAGTTTCTTGTCTGGGATATTCTTCATAAACATGCCGTATTCTTTGTTTCAGCCGAAAACTACATAAAAGTAATAACAGGGCTACACAGGCAATTGTCGGACCCTGAACTCGAGACGGACGAGCGCACGATGCTGCTTGCCAAGATATTCAGCACTTGCTTGGAGGCGCAAGGTATAATTGATACAATACAAATAGTAATAATACACTTACAGAGCGGCAGAAAAAAGTGAGAATGTAAAATGGTAACGTTTATATTTAAGTAAATGAGAATTAGACATGAAGTTCGCCCATCTAGTTTATAACCAGAGAGACGAAACAAGGGCCATCTATCCCTGGCACCTCATCAGGCAAATGCCTTATAGCACTCTTAAATGTCAACTCTCGTTTTAACTGCAATATAATACAGAACCAACGACTGACCTGTGTGTATGTCTCCGTATATTCCAAAAATATTCTGTATTTATCATTGACTTACAATTATATGGACGTCGGGTCCGCGCTAAAAAGTGTCCGAACTTATAGGGCGTTAAAATCGTATACAGAGCGTCATTCACGCTTTAGTCTTCGTTTGTTCGACTGACAGCGAAGCAAGCAAAATTAGACAGTACTGCGATGACATTACAATTTAAATTCAACGTTTTAGCTTTTTCACATTCCTTTACATGTCACTACGTTTAAATAGGTTGACTTGGGACATTTTTTTCGTGGTTTTTGTATTAGACCCGTCGTCCATTTATTTGTAAGTCAATGGTATTTATTGTAATAAAGATAATATCTCATACAATGGGGGGCTGTTCCATTCGGTGGTGTGAGAAAAACAGCAAAACATTTAATTACAAAACAAACGGAATCACATTCCATCGGTAATTAAATATAAAATATGTGATTTTTTAATTTTTGTCCTGTATAGCAAAGCTCATGTTAAACTGGTCGATTCGAGTCAATTGTTTCGAATTCCGGCTAGCCAATTTGAGCGCAGTTGTCACCGTAATGATTTGGCAGAATAGTTTCCTAACAAATTAAATAACATTTCGTCTTCGTCTCTATTTCTGGTTATATACGTGATGCCTGCGCATCGCGCTGCTGAATTGTCGATCCCTGATTGGCTAATTAGCACTAGTACCCGGCACAATCTTTGAGGAGGACCTACTCCCGACGATCTTGTCGTAACCTGGCCCTGTACTCTCTCTCGTTCTTCGTCCGACGTCCGTCCGAAACAGTTATTGTAAAATAATTGATATTTGACCAAATGAAAAATGCATGATGCGAATGAAACTTCACACCGGACTTTGTTTTTTAATTTGGTCGAATATTACTTATTTGACAACTGCCTCCGTGGCCGAACGGTTACCATGCCGGACTGCCACGCAGAGGTCCCAGGTTCGATTCCCGGGCCGGGAGAAATGTTTGTATGGCCTACATTTATTTCTCCCGTGAGTTTGGGTGTAATTTGTGGTTGTCTATGTGTGTGTCCATGGCACCCGCGACACAGGGTTTCCCTAGTGCGGGGCTATGTTGAGTGTGTGCGTTATTTATTTATTTATTATTATTTATTTGACAGTACAGTAATACCCCGCTTAACGCGAGGGATGCGTTCGCGGTTGTTATTTTTATGTGTGCCCCTCCTGGTGTTATACACTTTTGGTTGCACTTGGGTCTCTATCTTGACTTAACGACTGCTACCAGGGTAAGAACGAGGTATGATCGAATAACAAAGAAAATATTGTAACGAGCGTGACTTATTTGTGTATATTATAAAACCTTAGAAAAATATTTCACAAAAAAATGAGACCTTAGTTAATTATTTCACTTAACACATATACACATTCAACATAGCCCCGCACTAGGGAAACCCTGTGTCGCGGTTGCCATGGATATACATATAGACAACCACAAATTACAGCCAAACTCACGAGAGAAACAAATGTGGGGCATACAAATATTTCTCCCGGCGCGGGAATCGAACCTGGCACCTCTGCGTGGCAGTCCGGCATGGTAACCGTTCGGCCACTGAGGCGGTTAAACTTTTTTGATGAAATAGTTATCTAAAGTGTTTTGAGTCGCAATTTGTTTGCGTTCTTATAAAAGTTTTTCGTAACGAGCTCCTCCATTTTGTATTGATGTGCGAAGAAACAAAACATAATCGACATCGCTGTCTAGGTTTTCTAAGATTTCATGACCTGAATGAATCTTAGACGCTTTCTGAATTGCACTTGACGGTAATGCATTCTGAACTATCACTTCAGCTTCTTGTGGTTCATCAAATTATGCATCCATGAAACGGGCTAATTTAACACGAATTTTGAAAATAGCGTTATAGCGAAATCGCAGTCGCGCGAAGCGGGGTGTTGCTGTAATTGTTTCGGACAGATGCCCCGCTTGTTCCTTCCTTTCCTGCAAGTTATGGAATGGTCTACCTTCTGAAGTATTTTCTTTGCGCTATGACATGGGGTTTACCAAAAACCGAGTCAACCGGTCTCTCAAAGGCTGGCAATGCACAGGCAGCTCATCTGGTGTTGCAGATGTCCATGGGCGATGACTACCTCCCATAAAGTGGCTCGTCTGTTCGTTTGCCTCCTCTTCACATAAAATAAAATTCAACGCCATGATCCACTAAAGCCAAATTTCCCACGTAATCCATACGGATCCCTAGGGGCCTATGGGATGATCCAAGGGATCCGCAAAAAAGATCGAAAGTTTTCATGAAAAATATTTTCCCCGTGACCACGTAGCGCGGACAAAATTGATCATGTAAAGATTCAGTATTTTTAGTAGGTTTTAAGTTCATTGACTTGGGGATTCATGATTAGGTTTTTGTTATGGTGAAATTGACCATGACTGGAATAAGTCTAGAAAACACTGCAGTAAAGTACAAAGGCCACTTTTCTCACTTTCAGGTCCCACCAGAGAGCTACACGAAAGTATGTCCTCAGATCCTGAATCGGCCAACAGACTAATGTCTCGACGCACCACACTGGACAAAGAACCTGAAGTAGCCATCATGAAGCTTAAAGATGATCTAATGGCCCCGCCAAGAACGGCCCCAAAGAGAAAGGACAGAAAAACTTTTGGTAAAAAATCTGGAGATAGTAGGAAAAAATCTGATGAACATAGCAAAAGGTTGGAGGCTGATGGTGTAACAGAGAAAAATAGTAAGAATATGGAAGATGGTAGTGAAAAGTCAAATGGATTCGGAAAGAAAACGGATTCTGGTAAAATCCGCAAAACATCAGACTACATTGTTAAAAACATAGACAACAATAATAAAAAATCAGGAAATAATACCAAAAAAGCTAATGAAGTTAACAAAAATATTAATAATGTTAACAATCCTCCAAATGATGACAATAATTCAGATAATATAATAGAGAATATCATTGATGATAGAGGTAAAGTAAAAAATGTTATTGGAGAAGCAAATAGTGAACTGGGGAATACAAAGGGTAAAGTAAAAAATGTCACTGGAAATGGTGGTAAAAAGCTTTCGAATAATGGCAACACTAAGACTGGTAAAGTAAAAAATATGACTGGAGATAGTGGTAAAAAGCTTTCGAATAATGACAACACTAAGACTGGTAAAGATAAAAATGTTGAGAATGCTAGCAATAAAGATGGTGCGGAAATGGCAGGTCGTGGTGAAAAAATGTTTAATGATCGTAAAATTATTGGTAGTAAAAAGGCGGTTAAAAGACCTAGTAATACTGATAATGATAGTAATTCTAAAAAATCTAAATACGTTTCAGAACAGAACAACCAGCCTAGTTTAAACGTCAAACAAACTGAAACAAACATTATTGTTAAAAAATCCGTTACAAAGTCAACTGAAAAAAACATTGCCAGCGCAAAAAGTAAAAAGGCTACAAGTGCGAAGAAAGAGAGCAACACTAATATCAAAAAAGTTGTAGAGAAAAAAGATAGCCACACTGAAATTGAACATGGTAATATTGGAACTATAGATATTAAAAAAATGAATGAAGAATCAAAACTTGTTAAGAAAGTTATTAAGAAGAATATTGCCAACACTATTATTGAAAATGGTGAAAAAGTGAATGGTGTTGCTACATCGAAAGACAACGTTGAAGTAGGTAAAGAAAAAGTAAATTCAGCTATTAAAACTGTTCCCAAACAGCCTAATATTGTTAAAAATAATGAACAAAATAAAGTTGTTAAAGAAAAAATTGTAAACAAAGTTGTTTCGAATAAAACAAAAGCACAGGCCGACAAAAAAACTGAAAAAGTTACTAATAATAAAAATACGCAGAAAGCGAAAGAATCTATCGTAGATAAAAAGGTTGCCAATGTGAAAAATGTTACTAAACAACAAATCATTTCCAAAATGGCCAGTGATAATAATACGAAAAAGAATGTTGCTTCTACAAATAAAACGGCAACAAAACCAAATATCACTAAGAATCCTTTACAAATTTCTAATAAACTCAAAACTAGCAACACTACGACCAAGAACACGAAGCCTGGTAACATTGAAAAGGAAAATATTCAGAATAAAATGATATCAAAAATACCCCAGAAGAATCCCGCCTTGAGTGCTCTGAAGAACAACCCTTTAAGAATGAGTCCCAGTAAGTATTATACATAGTGTTTTTTTAACTGGAACAGTATGGGGAAATCCGATACTACGGGAGGTACAAGGAAACTGCCTTAGGAACCATTTGTGTTGTGAAAACAATTTTTGCAGTTAAATTTTTTGGTCAAGCGCGAGTTGTCTATAAAAATGAATAAAATAGGTTTTTATAATGTTGATCGACTCGGTTTCATGTAAGGACCATTTCATTGTATTGAAAGAAAAAATCAGGACAATGGAAGTTGATAGGGATAATTTTATTGTATTGGAAGAAAAAATCGGGAGAGCAATGTAAATTTACTTTTGTAGGTCATGTAAGAAAAACTTTAATTTCTGCCCAAAATTGGAACATATTAATAACAATGGTATTAAAATAAATAATATTTTTTTCAGGGCGACTAACAACCAGTACTAAACTATCGAACCTGGTATCTGGAGCAGCCATGCCTTTACAGAAAACAATACAGAAATCCACCAACATACCACGTAAGTGCTTTAATATGACGTTAAACAAATCAACAGTAAATACTAAACCATGCTTGAATTTTTTATGATAGCAAATGACGGTACAGACAAGTCGTGCGCCTGGTGGTAAGCGACACGCCTGTATAGCTGTTGTAGTGCCACACAGAGCATTAAATCACAAAGATCTGAGCGACATTGACACTGCACAACCTGATACATAAGTTGTCAAGTCCCATTTGCCTGTATTTTCTCCAGCACCTTTAACTCTTCAAAACTAGTATGTTTAATGTTAAAAATATAATAATAACACAATCACGGGTTCATTTAAAAAAATAAACAAGCAATTTGATGAAATTACTGACGCGTGGGACTTGTCTTCTTTATCTCATTAATACGAGGAATAAAAATAAACTGTTCTTGACAGTTGTCTTCATAAAGTCTCAAATTCATTTAAGAGGGAGCAGAGGAAACATTCCTAATCTTCGATTTGATTTTAGAGGGGTATATCCACTTTAAAGTTAAAAATACAATATTGTAGAGTAACTACACGATATATTCAAGCATAGACATTAATCAGAAACATAAAACAATAAAGTTTCCTCGATAGATAAAAATCACGAAATGACCTCTAATTTTCACATTTTTTCGATTTATCCTCGAAATGCTACAGGTTATTAGGACAAAAATTAGATAATTAATTATATTTATGCATGATCGACAACTGTCCCTACGGATTTTTTTTTTAAATCCCTTTAGATTTAGAGTTATTCCTCTAAAACGAATTTGGTACTTTTAATGCGCAAAATTCAACATCTACTGTCGCATATCACGCGAACTTCAGGCATATATTTGTTTCACAAATTTGGGCGGAGCCAACGTCAAAACTTTTTTGGCATGCGAGCTCTTAAAGGGCAATGTATTCGCTTCTATAATAAGATTCCGATTGATATTCAAAATTTCCCATTTAGGTTTAAAACTATAATGAAACAATAATTTTATGCTAGTGACCTGTTTGACTCTAGCAAGTATTCTCGAACTGAGATGTTTAAATTAAATATTGTAAATGATAAATATATTCAAATGTGTATTTACAAAGAGCAAGCCCTAGAGTTTCTTGCTCGTTCTTTTCACGGGAATCTGCCTTAATGAGCAGTAGAGTTTAATCAGTATGACGAATTCAAGTGTAATTTTCTTACCTATGATATAAAAATTATTCGACTTTGACTTCGATTGAGGGGGACGGGCGCAGTGGCACTGCCCCCCAGATCTTTGCTATTTAAAGCTCTGAGTGGCAATACAACTGTTAAGGACAGGCGTGTCGCTTGTCACCATGCGCACGACTTGTTAAACTCGTCACTAACAGCAACAAAAAAGTACAAATAAAAAACTGTTACCGCCCTAGGGCCGAGTTTAAAATACAGCTTAATTTTGCTGTATAATTTACAAACCGATGGTTCTCCGTCTTGTAGGTCATTCACCCCGCCGGGCCCTCACCGCTTTCCCTATCCTACTATATACTATATTTTTTGTTTCAGGTTTGGCCACAAAGCCAACTACATAAGCTTGTATTTTCGTAAAATAGCACGCCCCACTACGGGCATGAGTCGCTAGTTAAGCATAGTTCTTGTATCATTGATTTTAGAGCATAGGTTCCCAAACTTTGTTGTTTACTGTCCACTTTAGGCAAGATAAAAAAATTTCAATGCCCGCCCACAAAAAAAAAATTGAAAACACAATGCAAGGATCAGTGGAAAAGAAATCCCGTCTTGTCGAGAGTCCACGGTTAGTCATTTCAATTTGACACTTAAGGCAGTTAACGATTGGGGCGATGCCAATCTTGTCAAATTTAATGCTAACCAAAACGCAGGCGTGTCTCCACAAAACGGAGTCCCTTTCACCTGACTCCGACTTTTCGTGATATATACCGATAACCGACCGTCTCCAGCTACTTGGAATGTATCTGTCGTCAATCTGAACTTCGGCAGATATATTGAATTCATGGCCAATAATGCAGCCAGGAATCTCAGCATCCTTTCCAAGTTGAGGCATTACTTCACACCGGGACAGTTGCTTCAGCTGTACCAAGCACAACTCCGGTCGTGTATGGAGTACTGCTTCCACTTATGGGATGGCTCTGCTAAATACCAACTGGCCACCTTAGATTCAATTGACCAGCGTAGCTAGAAGCTTATAAGTGACTCGGAATTAGTAAAGGCGAAACTGCAGAGCCTTTAACACCGCCGTCAAGTTGCCTGCTTATAGGTATTTTACAGGATATATCACAGAGAGTATGCGATGGAATTACACGACTTAATTCCGCCTTCCCCTTTCCATCATCGGGGGACTAGGCGTAAGCTTGGATTGCTCACGTATTTTGCGCATTTATTCGCACTTATTTTGAATAAAAAAAAAAATGACGCAAAAAATCACAAGAAAAAAAAAATTATGTGGTGTAGTTGCTATAGATAATTCAGTTTTTTTTTCCAAATGCGATAGCACCCACCGGACAGCGTCGACGTCTCCCTAATAACTTCCTAGGCCTCTATCACCCCCTAGGTCAGTTCAGCGACCACTGGGTAGCGGTAGAGACCACTTTGGGAAACTATACTTTAAAGAGTAATTTTAATTAATTATGTTTGTTTTCCACTGGTCGCTTACTGTTACTATATGAAACTTACACGACCCGCTGCTGGGCACGGGTTTTCTATGCTATATAATAATGAATTCAATTGAAATCATGTACTTGTAATATTAAGTATATTGATTGTCACGATATTTTACCATCCTGATATTCAATTATTTTTTGTGAAATTAGAATAGAATAGACATTTATTGCAACGCCACAACACAGATACAAAAGAAATTGGTAACACAGATAACCTAAACAAAAGTATTAATGAAAGAAAAATACAATAAAAAAAACAACAACATAAGACAAGCATGGCAAAAAGCAAAAAACAAAATATAGCGACTACAAATTTTGTACTGACATTTGTGCGGTTGTGGCGTACGCAAAAGGACTTCATTCAGCATAACGATGCCTTGCTTTGTCAAACTCGTATCTTATAAAGAGGGATTATTCAGGAGATGGCGAATTTGTATATACAATCCATTTTTTGCATTTCAGTAACATTGTGCTTTAAAGATACGAGTTTAAGAAAGTAAGGTGACGATAAGCCACAGTCATAACTGATTGTGGCGCTGGTTTTCAATGAGCCCTGAGAAATTAAATTACAACACTAGTTTTTTGTAACTTATCACTCTCGGACACGAGAACAATTCCTTTCTTTCTTTTAATTCAATTATTTCGATGCGGCAGCATTAGCCGGATCGAAATAATTTTTCTGTGTATTTGGTCTTTGTATTAATAATATGTGATTTTTAAACTTTTTGATAATAAACAATAAATAAAAACGTATTTTTAATAAGGAAAATTATTTTATTTTATACGACTAATGAAATCATACAAAAACCTCTTAAATTCTAAGTCACACGGTTTTAAATTCAATTATCTAAATTGCCAGAATGGTTGTCATGAAATATTATTATGTCATAAAAATTAGACAAAAAAATTAAGTCACGATTAAACACAGCTTTATGTATAGGAAATGAAACTATTTTTCCGGATTTAAATCGCGTATATTTGTTTTTTCAAACAAACCGACGTTTCGGGCCCTTTACAGGTCCCATGGTGACTGAGGTGGTACAGTCTTCAACCAGTTATGTCTAACATTGATGCAAACCACCCTATTTTTTCACTATAGTTACAGTAGTTATTAATTAAATACCTTATTTTTAATTTTACAAAGAAAACATTCCAATTTACGCTAAATTAAGTTTAATAATAGAAATTAGAGTAAAGTAAAACATATTAATGAAATCCGGAAAAATAGTTTCATTTCCTATGTGTAACAATCGCGAAAACCTTAGAGCTCGATACAGCTTTATTTACTTTATTGGAATAAAAAAAAGACAACTAAAGACATTTTGACAATACAATATTAAGACAATACAAATTACTAATTAAAAGTTACATGAATGTAAAAATCATTGTAAACAAATTCAGTTTCATTAGGACACATTTTTATAAAAAAAAAACAATAGCTTAAAACTAAACTCACGATATTAAAAGAAAACACAAAATAAGATGTCAAAAAATTCGTTAATTAAAAAAAAACATTTTGACAAAGACAAAAATGGAAAATTCAAAGGCCAACGGATGTTGTAATAGGTTTTAGAGTGCTTACACACGGCGACTTTAACAGCAATGCAAACAGCAAAGATTGCATCTCTACACTTGCGATTCATAGACGTTTACATCGATGCAAACACGCGATTGCATCGATACAAACGCGCGATTGCATCGATATAAATGCGTAATTGCATCGCTACATTTGCGATTTATAGGCGCTTACATCGCGATGCAAACACGCGATTGCATCGATACAAACGCGCGATTGCATCGATATAAATGCGCAATTTCATCGATACAAACGCGAATGCATCGATACAGTCGCTCATGTTGAATAATTAAGTACGCAAAATCTGTACAGGTTTATGCACATTATTTCGTTTTGTTAATTGTAAATTTAAAAGTGAAATTAATAAATACAGTAAATAAATAAATTAGTTAATTAATTTAAAATGTGCATCACTGATTAAAGCCGCGCTCGTGTGTAAAGGTAGATAGAGACTAGCGACTGCATCGCGTTTACTTTACGTTGCCGTATGTAACCGCTCTTAAACTAGCTTAGAAATTATTACTTTTTTCAAAAAACGTACCTTCGTTTTACTGTAAATAAAAAAAAAACAGGTAGAGAAACGTATTAAGACGGTTGGAAAAAGCCTTATATCGATAAGCTCAAGCGTCGCATCGGGTCCTGTTTTTCATTTACAACGCTTGGTGACGCGACGACACTCGCATTAGTGCGCCCGGATCACAATGTGGTCGGCGTCTGACGCCTCACTACGTTCAAGTGACACGCGTCGACTCCCGTATCCATATTTGCATAACACAAATTTGTACCTTAATAATGGGAAAATAGAGTTGAATGTGCTATAGGCGAAAAACATGACGCGTCGCGACGATTCGACTCTGCGCCAGTGTGAGTTGAGCCTTAGTTGTATACAAAGAAAATACGTAGTAAGTAGTGACGTGATACGCTATGGGTACTAGGGATGCGCTATTGTGAATGATTTCGATAGGTATTCGACTCATCCTGTCATTCGAATTCCATAGAGCATTTCTGCTCGTGATCACCTAGCCAAATCAAATAAAAAATCTTCTTAAGTAGTTTCTAGTCTATTAACTTTTATAAATTTTGGTTAAATATATTTGCTTGAAGGTTAATATGTTTTTACTATAATAATACAAAAAAATATATACTAACAATTAAACTTTCTATTATTTTGATCCGAAGGCTGAAACTACGCCTTGAACCAATAGATGCAATGCAAAATACACTGTGTTAATACTAAATCTATGGTGTTAAGAGTGTATTTAAAATTTAGTGCAAGTGGACATTAGATTATCCCAATTTTTCGATAGCCGGTTTGTCACTTAATGTGGCCTTTGTCAAAACGTTACACATAAAAAAAGTAAGAAAATTACTTAAAAACTAACTAAAAAGAATTATGAAAAAATCCATACATAAGTACTTTTTAAAAAGAACCTTAAATCCTATTGGTGGACCGTTGGGAACGTTTGTATTCTTGAATCCTTCCAGTAGCGCTGTAGGGAATAATTCTGTCCCGTAGTTGTCTCCTCGTTGGGTTAAAACGGAGTTCTGAACGGATAATTCTTGTGAGTGTCTCCCATTCTGAAATATGTAAAGAAATTATAGTAAACAAAGCATTGACTTACAATTATATGGACGTCGGGTCCGCGCTAAAAAGTGTCCGAACTTGTAAGGCGTTAAAATCGTATACAGAGCGTCAAACTCAGCTTTAGTCTTCATTTGTTCGACTGACAGCGCGATACTGCGATGACATTACAATTTAAATGTTGAATAGGTTGACTTGGGACATTTTTTTCGTGGTTTTTGTATTAGACCCGTCGTCCATTTATTTGTAAGTTAATGAAACAAAGCTTTAAATTAAATGGCTTGTTCCATTCTATTTCATTAACTTTTTTGCCGTAGCTCTATCTGTGAGAAATTTATTTCTACACTCAGCCAGCTACCTTTACAGCTACCAGCAGCTGCCTAGAGATGTCGGTTTAATAATTGTAATTTGTGAGTTTTAATTGAATGTTTAAATTCAATTATTTTTGTGAAATTACTCCACTAGTTTGTTACAATTTTTTTTATTTAACTTTTGGAACGCACACGCTTATAGCTCCGTAGTAGGGAAACTCTGTGTCGCGGGTGTCATGGATGTATGGACAACCACAAATTACACCCAAACTCACGAGAGAAACAAATGCAGGCCATACAAACATTTCTCATGATAACCGTTCGACCACAGAGGCAGTTAAAATTCATATTATTAAAATTGTTATTAATTAAAATATATATTATTTTTTTTAAAAACAAATATCCGCGATTTAAATCCGGAAAAATAGTTTCATTTCCTATGTGTAACAATCGCGAAAATCTAAGAACTCGATTAATATTATTTAAATTAATACATTTGTATTAATTAAATTAACACAAAGGTCGAATATGAAGAAAAAGGCTGGATTCGTCCAGTGTCTTCTAGCAAACTGTGCCAGACGCTATGCCAACTAAGCTACGGAACGAACCAACAGTGCTTGTTGAAGATCTTTGTTTTTGGTTTTTAATGACTTTTTGCCGTAGCGCCATCTTTGTTTACATTTTTGATCTCGAATTCCATCA